CACTCAAGATCCTCCATAGTAACAATGATAATGCAAATACAATAACAACAGAAAACATTTCCTGAATGCATTATCTCATTCATTCCTCAAAACAACCCCTTGAGGTAGTAATTAATATCATCCCACTTTAAAGAAAAAGAAATTCAGGTCCACATCCTCACCCACATTTGGCCTCTTGTCAATCCATCCTTATTTCAGCCATTCCCAGTGACTTATATCACTGTGCCCCTCTGCAGACTTCTGCTCTGTGGACATCCTTAGCCTGAACTGCCCTGCCTTAAGCCGCCCCTACTGTTTGTTGGGTGAACAATTGCTAATCTTTTTAGACCCAGTTCAGGAAAGGCCAAAAGCTAGAGATATGGTATTTCAGAACATATGATCAGATTTGGAAGTCATCTTAAAGAGACATCTAGTTTCATGTTCCACAGACTATGGATTGCAACTCTCATTAGTGGGTCAAGGCCAGGATTTTTATAAAATTGAAATAAAATAGAACAAAAAATATCAGAGGGCAGGGAGCGAAACTATGTATTGTTTCAAGGGCAGGTATTGCTTTGTGAAGGTTGTGTATGCTAGATCCCAAAGTAAAATGTGTTTTTTTTATTGTGGGTAGAGGTCCAACCATCAAGCCACTCTCCACGCCAGAAGCCAGAATGATCTTTCTAAATCTGATTATGTCTGTCTCTTACTTTGAATTTTTCTGTGTCTTCCTATTTCCATTAAGATTAAAGACAAAACAAAACACCTCACAATGCTGACCCACGGCCCTGCTGGTCTCCTGTTCTTCTGAGGTCATTCCCAAGCCTTTGAAGGTGCTGTTCCCTCTGCCTGAACACTCTCCTTGCCCCGTCCATCTGCGAAGTCCCATTAATCCTTCAAGATTCTGCTCAAATATCACTTTCCCCAAGAAACCTCCGCCTAGGTTTCTTGATCTAGTCTAGGTTGCTAGACTAGGTCAGATCTCCAAATTATATACTCGCCATGCATATTGGACTTTTCCTTATAAGCACTCATCACAACTGTAGTTAAACGATATCTAACTGCTGCCTCCTTCCTTAGTCAGTTGGGTTCCTTCTGTGTACTTCTAGCAACTCACTTTGCTTTGCCATTCACAGGAGCCGCTCAGCCAGGGCTTGTAGAAGAATGAGTCTCCTGTGCAAAGCAAGAATCATCTTCTCTCAGAAACCTTTCGTGACTTCAGTCCTTACCTTATACAATGAACTCCTCGTCATCATTGTACTAATGAGGGATACCATTTACAAAGCCAGTGTAATATGCTAGCTACGCAAATGCTTTGCCTAGACAGCTCAGGTTGGTCTCTCACAACCCTGAGAGAAAGGCATTATTTTACATACTCTTACAGTTGGGGAAATGGAAGATTTAGAGTTGTTCACAGTTATATGCAACCACTAAATGGCAGGGTTACCTAACCACCATTACTAACACCTATACTACTGTATTACATTTGTTTGTCTACACATATCTGCTGCTCCTGACTAGATTATATTCTTTGGAGGCAGGGACCGAGGCACAAGCACCTAGTAGAGCCTCATTAAATATATTTGCTTAATGAATAAAGATGGATGGGAAAAGGCAAGAGTTCAGAGCAGAGCACTTTATAACATCATAAAGTAACCTAGTTGGAGGGACCTATCCCCTCCCAGGGTAGGAATCTCCTAGAATTCCTAGAGTGTGACTTGCTACACCCCCTGCTATGTAGCCCATTCTCTTGTTAGTTAACTCTAGTTACTAGTTCAATTAGATTCTGTGAGCATTTATTGAGCATCTACTACATACAAAGCTCTATGCTGGGGACTGAAGACAGATGTGAACCTGACTAATGGTAGAGGATCTGAGTGTTTGGTACCAGGGGAAGATGGCCATGTGCCATAAAGGCAGAGCATAATGCAGCCATAACACTAGGCTATACCCAAGGTGTAAAGAAAGAGCCATGAGAGGCCAGAGAAAAAGCAATTAATTCCTATTGGGAAATGAGGGTTGACTTCACAGCATTCCAGCCTGGCTTTTTTTTTTTTTTTTTTTTGAGATGGAGTCTTGCTTCGTTGCCCAGGCTGGAGTGCAGTGGTGTGATCTCAGCTCACTGCAACTTTTGCCCCCTGGGTTCAAGCAGTTCTCCTGCCTCAGTCTCCCAAGTAGCTGGGATTACAGGAGTACGCTACCATGCCTGGCTTTTTTTTTTCCTGTATTTTTAGTAAGACAGGGTTTCAGCATGTTGGCCAGGCTGGTCTCAGACTCCTGGCCTCAAGTGATCTACCTGCCTCAGCCTGTAAGTGCTGGGATTACAGGCATGAGCCACTGCGCCCAGCCCAGCCTAGTTTTAAAGGATGTGTAGGCAAGTTCTTTAATCTGAACATAAATTTCCCCAACATGGTGAGTGTACGGAGCGGGGATAGTTGATGAAACCCACTTTTGCCTTCTGAAGTGACACAGAAGTGTAATCCTCTCCATGTTAAAACTCCAAAATAGGCCGGGCGCGGTGGCTCAAGCCTGTAATCCCAGCACTTTGGGAGGCCGAGGAGGGTGGATCACGAGGTCAAGAGATTGAGACCATCCTGGTCAACATGGTAAAACCCTGTCTCTACTAAAAATACAAAAAATCAGCTGGGCATGGTGGCGCATGCCTGTAATCCCAGTGACTCAGGAGGCTGAGGCAGGAGAATTGCCTGAACCCAGGAGGCGGAGGTTGCGGTGAGCCGAGATCGCGCCATTGCACTCCAGCCTGGGTAACATGAGTGAAACTCCGTCTCAAAAAAAAAAAAAGAAAAAAAAACTCCAAAGTCAAGGATAATTACCTTGTCCTGTCTGATATTTCTATTTTTGAGGCAAACATTTCTCACTTTATTTCACTGGGTCTCAAGATAGAATATGAACCCACATAGAAGGCCTTTCCTCCTCCTCCATTTACTAAATTTTATTTATCTTTCAAGGCCAAGGTCAATGCCACCTTCTCCATCACATCCCCTAACAATTACAGAGAAGTGGTATCTTATTTGCATAAACACAATGGTATACAGTAAAAATTACTTCGGAAAATGCCTACATTTACCCATAACATACAGTATATATGGCTTTCTGTATGCTATCTAACACAACCAGTTTTCCCCAGCACTAAAACATACTATGTACCTTTGGTTTAGAGCTGACAAAGACTCTCCTTGATCAAACTTGTTAGGTTCCCCTGAGCCCTCTTCTTGACTAGCCCTTGACCTTGGCTCCCCAAACCCTTCAGTCTTAGGCACACCTAGGTCAGTTTTACAAGGAATCTTGAAGTCATTTTAGTGAGACTCCTCACCCTTCATGCATGATCACACTTGATATCTGATCAAGTTCCTCCTTCCTGCCTTTGATGTGCAAGTCCTTGGTCTGCCTTTAACAACAATCTTGTTAGGTCAGATGAGCAAAAATCCTCCCACTCTTGATGGCTCCTCTTAGCAATTTTCTATATATCGATCCCCTTACTCTGTTCATTGGCCATAAATCCCCAGCTATCTTTACTGTATTTGGAATTGAGCTCCATCTCTCTTCCCTATTGCAACAGCCCTATTACCACAGCCTCGAGTCAAGTCTTCCTTACCGTTTACTATTTTAACCAATTACTTTTTCCTTAACAGAGCCAAAAGAAGTAGATGTCTTGTTTCACAGCCATGTTGTACTCTGTGGACGTAGGTGAATTCACATACCTGAAGTGTTGATACGATGTGATATGAATGCTTGCTCTTTCCTCCAGCATTTTTCTTATCATCCCTAGTATAATCCTCCATTTTACCATGTACTGTAGTGTACTGTGTACATGTATGTTGCATGCATATCACAGCCTCTGCTGCTCCTCTGGGATTGTGTGTTTTTCATCTTAAGAGTCCCCATAGTGACCAGCATGGTGACATAAAACAGGGCCTCATCATCTTTGCCCCTTCTTCAGATGTTCTTCAAGCCTGTTAATATCCCTCTCAAAATGTGATATCCATTAGTGAAAACAATATTCCAGACACGATATGATCAATATGGAGAGTCTCTACCCTCTCCCCCTACCCCAAATCACACTTCTATTAGCTCAATCTTAGACTTCAACCGTTTTAGTAGCCACATCTCACCCATACTGGCCCTTTGGTCTGGTAAAACCCAAGGTCTTTTTCGGGAGGTCTGCTATTAAGCCCAGATTCCCACTACCTTATGTTTATTTGAACAAGTCTTTACGTTTACCCTTGTTAAAACTGTTTCTTGGTTTTCCACGCAAGGCAGAAGCCTGTTGATATACGTGTTTTTGAAGCGCAATTCTGTGGTCTGACAGAAGACTCTTTGATTTTCACTTGGGTGGTAACAGGAAAAGGAGACCAAACAGCCTTCAGCGCAGGGTGAAAGGGAGCCTCCAGAAGGCTGGCCCTGTCTCCATGGAGAAGCCACAGGTGCTAATGGAGGTTTGGTACCTACGTAGTTTGTGCCCTTTTCTTCTTTCCAGAGCTTCTCCCTTCTACCCTGGGCCTCTTCAGCTCTCCCAATAGCGGACCCCCGAGGCAGCAGCGCCTCAACAAGGTGGCAGAGGTCCCCGTAAAGCCCGCGCCTGGGCTCGCAGCCCGCAACAGGCAGCTTTTTCCCCGCGCTCCCGCGATGCCTGGGCCCCCTCTGGGGGCTCCCCTCCCCCACCGGGAGAGCTGTCCTCCAGCCCCCGCGAGCGGCGCGTGGAGTCGGGACCCGGCCCCCGGCCCTGCGTTCCGACTGCCGGGGGCGCGGGCAGCCCAGGAGGCTCTCCGCGGGGACTTGGCGCAGGGGCCCAGCTCGGGCAGAACGGGCGGGCTCCGGGCGGCGCTGGCGGGGCGTGGGCGAGGCGCGGGAGGGGAGGTCTGCGCCGCCCCAGGACTGGCCTGAGCCGCGGGGGGAGCTGCGTCCCTCTGCGCCCCGGGGCGGGAAAGGTGGCCCCCGCGCGGGGGTCGTGGCAGCAAGCTGGGCCCGCGATTCAGGGCCGGGAATGGGCCGGCCCGTACCTGATCTTGAAGTCGCGGTTATAAATGGTCCGCAGCCGCTCGCGATCTGTCTCCATGTCCAGTCCCCGAACGACCAGGAAACTCTCGAAACACTGGCCCGCCTCCCGGAGCTGCCGGCAGCTGAACTTACTGGGCATCGCGGCGGCGGCTGCGGCCCAGGCAGGAGGGTCCGCGGAAATGAAACTGAAAGTCGCCGCTGCAGCTGGAAGTTGGCGGCCCTGAGATGAGGGTGCAGCAGAGGGGAAGCCCCCTAACTCTGACCCCTGATCCTGCGGGCTCCCTTCTCCCCACCAGACTTCTCTCCTACGTTCTTTTCTTACCTGAGTCTTCCCTTCGGTTCTCCGTCCTATCCCCTCCCCCTCTTCGCATTAACTCTTTCCTAAAGCGTCTGACCCCTCCCTCAGGGCCCTCCCCTTACCCCAAGCTCCCTCCCCTGGCTTCTAGCCAGTATCAGAACGTGGCTACCGCTTGGGGCCGTCTGAACAGCCCGGGAGGACCTCCGAGCCTCCGCTAGGGCCACTCTCACGCCCACCCTCTAGAGCCTGGGGACTCAGTGGAAAGCAGGAGAGCAAAGGGCAGGACTGGGACCTAGGTCGGCTGCAGCTGGACTGGGGAAGCTCATCCACCGCCTCCCCCAGCCGTCCAGGGACAGAAACCCGTGGAAGCGGGCGACACGCCCCCTCCCCCATTTTCCCTTCTTGGGCTTTCAGACGCACGTAGTTGGCATAAGAGTCAAATAAGTTTAGGGAGAAGAACCCAGTGTCTCTGAGATAAAGGTGTGTACGTGTGGAAGGGAGGGACAAGGGGCTCTGCCAGGACAAACAGTCATTGCTTTTCTCTGCCACACCGGCTCCATTACGTGGAAAGGCTGGTGACCCTTACCCCTGAGCCACATATTTGGGCGCTTAATTGCATTTCAATCTGTATTGCTCTTTATTTTTTACTAGTATATAAGGTGGCCCCAGTCATCAAAACGCTAGCATCTTCAGAGTAAGGGACTGTTGTGTTAGGCAATAAGTGTAGTTAATAGTGACGGTACCACGAAGAGAAGCGCAATTGTTTCACAAGACTGTATAGACAAATTAAAGGGGGTGGGGCTACAATAACAAGCCTTTGCATCTATTTTTTTTTTTTCTCGCAGAATGAAATAACACACACACTAGAATGGGACAAGCTAAGTTATACTAAAAAGTTTTAAATCAAATATATCACTTTCAAATAAATCAAAGCTAGTGGTGTTCTCCATAGCAGTTACCGGCAGGAGGCCACACATTCAATCTAAGGAATTAAAAGAAGTCCAGAACCCAGATCATACTCCAGGCCAACAACCAACTTGTACCTTCTCTCAGGCCAACAACCAACTGAAGCCAGGAATAACAGGCTTTAGCAACAGGAAATGCAGTCAGTGGGAACCAAAGCTACAGGGATGGGGAAAATAGAGCAGAGGAAAACATTGTTTTAGAACCGGATTATGCAAAGTAGAGGAAAAAACTAGAAAAGTAGCCAAAGATGTTACCTTTTTTTCTCCCTCAATGTCCTGATGAGGTTCCAGAAGAGTAGAGAGGGTGAACTCCTCAAAATTGCTTTGTTACTTACCATCTGAAAAACCTATCTACCATACTCAAACTGAATGTCTGGCTCCATTCTGACCAGCAAATCTAAATCCATATTATTCTTGGATACAATCTACTCTCTTTTCTGGTCAGACTTCTCTTGGGTGTTCTCAAAACGTACACAAAAAGCTACAGTATAGTAAAAACTTGGGTAAAAATGTGATGCATGTGGCTTTGTCTACAATAGAACTTCTCTAAACAAGTTTTATCTGGAAAAATCAACTTCACATGGGGTTCTAATTGTTATTGTCAGAGCCGTTTAAACAGAGCAACTCCATCTTGAACAGGGGCTGGGTAAGATGAGACTGAGACCTACTGGACTGCATTCCCAGGAGGTTAGGCATTCTAAGTCACAGGATAAAACAGGAGGTCAGCACAAGATACACATCATAAAGACCTTGCTAATAAAACAGGTTGCAGTAAAGAAGCTGGCTAAACCCACCAAAACCAAGACGGTGAGGAGAGTGAACTCTGGCTGTCCTCATGCCTCATTATACGATAGTTATAATACATTAGCATGCTAAAAGACACTCCCACCAGCACCATGACAGTATACATATACCATGGCAACATCAGGAAGTTACCCAATACAGTCTAAAAAGGGGGATGAAGCCTGTTCTGGGAACTGCCCACCCCATTCCTGGAAAACTCATGAATCATCCACCCCTTGTGTAGCATACAATCAGGAAATGACCACAAAAGGGGATCATGAAAGCCCCCTGGGGATGTTCTGCCTATGGAGTAGCTATTCTTTATTCCTTTACTTTCTTAATAAATTTGCTTTCACTTTACTCTATAGACTCATCCCTAATTCTTTTCCTGCATGGGACCCAGGACCCCTTTCCAGTAACATTTTCACACATGCTGTTCTAGATGTCTAAAATGGCCTCCTTTCTCACCTTTCACATCCAGCTCAAGTTTCACTTCCTTGATTTCTTCCTTAAATCCATCTATGTTTACATGAATCTACCTTAATTAAAAGAAATGAGGTTGATTTAGGCATGCGTTGAAGGCAATCTGAAAGTTAACTGGCCAACAGTGTTACTGGAATAAACCCATGGCCCTTCCAGAAAATCGAAATACTTTTTAGACTAGCCAGTCTACCATAAACCAAAAGAGAGGCTGTGGCAATTGTAGTTGATCCTACCTGCAAATGCACCTCTCACTAAAATGTATTTGTAATCCCCAAATCAATACATGTAGTGCCTTTGTGGTCATTCATGGACACACACAGAGCGACAAAAAACTTGTTGTCCAATGTGCGTGTTCCCAGTTGAGGTCTGACACAGTGCCCTGCTGATTTCAGCCCTTGTATTGTAAAGTGCCCTTTCCATGGTCTATCTAGTGCCACGCTTGTTGAATTCTTGTGCTTTTTGCTGGTGATTTCACTACTTAAAATGGCCACTAAGTGTAGTGCTTAAGTGTGGTCCCATGTTCCTAAGCACAGGAAGGCTTTACAGGGAAAATTCCTGTTAAACTTCATTCAGGAATGAGTTACAGTATTCACTAAGTCAGTATTCAAAGTGACTTTACAGAACCTAACCACGCTGAATAACCAGAATCAACTGTATATGCTTATACATAACAGAATGCTTTTTGATACCTTGGATTTTAAGAGATGTGAGATTTGTTTTTGTGCTCAAAGAGCTTATATATACTCTGTGCCTTTATATATACCTTATCTGTTTAAAGGAGAAATTTAAGTTATCTCAGTTTAAACTATAGGACAATCCAGCTTTGTTCTGTACTTACTAATCTTCCTTTTTCATAGTAGGTAGCTGAAAAATGAGAAAATGATCACAAGTATTTGGTTTACTTGGTAGTTTTATAGATAATTGTAAATTCACAAGTTGGCATTTAAATATTTATCATTCTTTATCATTCTGAATGACAGGTACACAATATGCCAAAATATGCCAAAAGTTTGCCAAGTATCCCATAAACCTAGATGAGTCCAGCACCAAAGTCTTAGATTATAAAAGAGAACAGGCATTGGAACTAGGCAAGCAATAGAGGGATAATCACTGAGGCTCAGATGAAACAGTCTTCAGCAGTGCCATTTCAAACCAAATACAGGAGGGAGGCTCCACAAAAAACTCTTTTCCAGATGGCTGGGAAATCTTTGCCCTAGGGTACAACAGGCTGATTTCAGCAGCTTGTGATAAAATAAATACAATTCAAGCAAATATTTCTGCTAAGGGAGGTTAAGAAGGTGGTAGGGGGGAGCCAGAGCGGGAGTGTCTCTGCCAGACTTGGTCAGGAGGGTTGATTTCCTCCCAATTATGCAAGTAACAACTTTAGATAGTCAAGGGGTTAAGACATTTTTTAAAAAAAGTCTAAGCTAAGGAATCAATGGGATAGCCTGGGGGTAAGATGAGAGAGTTAATAAATTAAAGGCAAGAATGTTTGAATCTATTTGCATTACAAGGAGAATGGAATGTAGCTAAATGTTTCTCAAAAAGGTGGGAATTTGAACTGGCCTTGGATGGAGTACAGGAAGCATAAAACTCCCTCTGGTTCCTTTTTGGGAACTAGGATAAAAAAAAGCCTCTCCCGCAAGTCTGTAGCTAGGCCAGCTAAGAGGAGGAAAGCAGCATTTCGAGATAACCCAACGTGAAATATTAGCAAGTTTAAGGCAGGGATTCTTTCATTTCTACCTCTGCCTAGTGACTACGACCATACTTAGGCCTTGCTTTCTGAATGACAGGTACAGAAGACAACTACATTTTTCCCTTTGAAAAACGGGTAGTCTCTGAGTGAAGAGCAGCATGATCCATAGATATTGCTCACGCTTAAATGAGCTGTTCTTTACAAATCTTTGGATATTCACTGAGTCTATAAAAGTTGAAGGTAGAAACCAATTTCAGAAACCCTAATCATTCTCAACAAATAAGATCAAATACAGCTGAATATCTTACCTTGAGAACAAAGGCTGAAGCGATGAATCAAAAAGGAGAAACTCAGACAATTTTAGAACAAAACAGGTATATTTCTATTAGACTATCTGATACAGAAGATAGTGTGGTATGGATGGATAGTATGAATGACAAATAATACAAATATATTTTATTTGAAATAAAAATGCATACACAGCTCAATGGGTCACTTAGAAACAAACTGTTGCTTGACTATATTACTGAGCAAAAACAAAACTGAAGCACAAACACCCTTCTTTTTTGACATGTATCTGGAGATAGGTAGGAAGACACTACTTGATTTTTTAAAAAACTGACCTTCCCTTAAGGCCTGGTCATAGAAGTGTAAACAATGTAAATGAATCCACCATTACCAGTTGTCATATCATATCTATGTCACCTGTGTATTCTGACATTACACACATACCTGCCAATATACCTGGGAAAGGTTATTTTATCACAGTTACACTTGAGTTCTTGGCAGGTAGGACAGAGGAAGAGTAATTTGAAATAAGTTTTACATCCTATTTAGAATAAATCACTAGTATTTCCTTAAATAACAGGTTACAATAGAAAGATACTGCCTGGAAGTTATCCTTTTCACTTTGGTTCATTTTTACTTTTTGTTTGTGATTTACATAGCTGTTTAATTCATTTGCTTATAGTACAATCCTGCCATAAAGTATTAAAGCACAAGATACCTATTATTCCTTCAACATCTGCATTTTTCAAGTTTTATACTCTATATCCACAGTATGTCAGCAGTTCTTGAATGTTTAAAAAAAATAAATGGGTAAAACCCTTCTAAAAATGCAGATGTCTATAACTACAATGGTACTAAAATGGGAAGGAGACAATGGAAGAAGGGATAAAAGCAAACACGTTCTGTGCAGGGAATGTGGTTCAAGTCTTTGGATTTAAAAACAAGTTCCCCAGAGAAGCTGGCACTTCCTTTGCCCTCCAAAAAGGACCTGAAAAGTCCCAATCCAAACTTTGGAAAATTACAGTTATGAGATGCAATAAATGATGATCAAAGCAGTCAGAGGGAGAAGGATGAATGTGTCTTCCATTTAGCTATAGATTGTAGCATAGTCTTTTTAGGTGTTGGTGGATCAGTAAAAACCACTGAAGTACCAGAAGTGCTTGGAGCTTGGAAGGATAGGGGTAGAAAGTAATGACCGTAATACCTTGTCTAAATCAGTAGCAGGGCTTTGTGGCTAGGAAACTTTTTTAAACAGTAAAATGTCTCTAGGATAGATCTTTCTCTCTCCAACATTAAATGTGGCAGAATTAACAAAAAAAAAAAAAAAAAATTTACACGTAGATATAGCAATAACAGAAAATTACAAGGCAGAGAACACAAAAGAATCAAGACAATGCTATAGGTTCAACAGTATTCCATGAGGCTAGAAAACTGGTTAACTTTGAAAGCCCTAGCAAAATATCACTCTTGTTTATAAATCACTTATTTATCATATGACCACATGTTGAATCCTTGTCTTTCCACATACTGGAGAATTCTACATTCAGCCTTTAAGCATTCTGCATTTCTTTGCCAATCTTGTAGCTGAGTATCTTGTTCCAGTCGATTTTGGTGCGGGTAACTGGAAGCTGCCGGCGCAAGGCCTTGAATGTGGTATCTGACATTGTTTGATAGTTTTCACTAATTGCTGTCTGCAATAGATAATTGAAGATGAGTTGCTTGAACAGAAACGAGGCTGGTTGTGAATAGGAAAGTAACGCTATAGTCAAAGGATATGCTTGAGTCCCCTATGAAGGATAGACTGGATATATTATTTTCAATGAGGTCCTCTCCAACCTCTGAAGTAGGTCAAGAAGTTCACCTATATTATTTCTTTCTTTCTTTTTTTTTTTTTTGAGACGGAGTTTCGCTCTTGTTACCCAGGCTGGAGTGCAATAGCCCGATCTCGGCTCACTGCAACCTCCGCCTCCTGGGTTCAGGCAATTCTCCTGCCTCAACCTCTTGAGTAGCTGGGATTACAGGCACGCACCACCATGTCCAGCTAATGTTTTGTATTTTTAGTAGAGACGGGGTTTCACCATGTTGACCAGGATGGTCTCGATCTCTTGACCTCGTGATCCACCCGCCTCGGCCTCCCAAAGTGCTGGGATTACAGGCTTGAGCCACCGCGCCTGGCAGCACCTATATATTTCTAAAACTAGAGCTACAGTCCCAAGCAATCTTGAAACCCTGATTGTAAGCAGAATGCCAAATGGGAAGGTCTGCGAAGTCTCCACATTTAGTAAAACTGAAGAGCATGTGTATTTACATTAAAGGACACAGAGAGGCCTAACAAAATATGTTAACAGCACAATAATAAGATAGTAGATCTAAAAAAATTAGCTCCAAATCTTCTTACCTGATACTCGTTTTCTGCATTCTCTATGATTTTAATAAACTCCTTGGCAGTTTGGGCTTCATTCTAATGGAGGAAGAAAGAGGGTAAAATCAGATTTTTTAAAATGTGTAAGCAGTAAGATCCTGAAAAGTAACTCCATCTTAACTAACATTTGTGTAACAATTTCTAGTTTACCAAAGTGTTTCCATGCCCACTACCTCCTTTGATTCTCACAACAACTCTATAGAAGAGAGTATGTTATAATCATAACCCCCATTTTGCAGATGAGAAAACAGAACCCTCTGTTTTCTTGACCAGAATCACACAGTTTTTGAATGATAAAGATGGAATCTGAAATTAGGTCTTCACCAAAAAAACCCATGCTCTTTCCACTCTACCACAGTATACCCAAAAGACATCATCAAGTCTTGAAAACTTGACGCCTTGAAAATATTTCTGGTTTAAAATGATATGAACAATGAATGCCCTCAGACACATCAGTCATATACCATAAGCTAACATATGCCTTTATTTGCCACTTAAGACGTTAAACTAGCCAATCACATTTTGTATTACGTGGCTCAAGTATAAAATGAATCTCTCTCTTCCTGTTACCATTAAGTACAACAGATTTTTTTTTTTAAGTTTTTTTTTTTTTTTTTAATAAGATGGGGTTTTACCATGTTCGTCAGGCTGGTCTTGAACTCCTGACCTCAGGTGATTTGCTGGCCTTGGCCTCCAAAGTGTTTGGATTACAGGCATGAGCCACCACGCCCAGCCAGATTTTTTTTTTTAAAGAGAACAGGGTAGGATTTAATGTCTACAGCAGTGGTCCTAAGAGAGACTATGAGGTCAAAACTATTTTCTACTTTTTTTTGAGACAGAGTCTAGCTCTGTCTCACAGGCTGGAGTGCAGTGACACAATCTCGGCTCACTGCAATTCACCTCCCCGACTCAAGCGATTCTCCTGCCTCAGCCTCCCAAGTAGCTGGGATTATAGGAGCCTGCGACCACGTGCAACTAACTTTTGAAATTTTAGTAGAAACAAGGTTTCACTGTGTTGGCCAGGCTGGTCTCGAACTCCTGACCTCGTGATCCGCCTGCCTCGGCCTCCCAAAGTACTGAGATTACAAGTGTGAGCCACCGCACCTGGCCTTTACTTTCACAATAATACTAAGACAAAGTTATTTGCCTGTTTTGCTCTCACTCTGTACAGCTAGTGCTCGACTTACGACCACGGTTGGGACAGCGGACCAGTCGTAACACAATTTGGTCGTAAGTTGAGTAGGCTATATGTACAGTTGAAATGGTGCACGCAGAGATGGTAGTGCTGCCGGAAGCTGGTCCGCACTGTCGTACGCCCAGCTGGGCCTGGGCAACGTTTGCGCTGCCAGACGCTGAGCAGTTGTGGCTAGCGATTGTGGTCGTAAAGTTGAATGGTCGTAAGTTGCATAGGTCGTTAAGTCGATCAATACCTGTAATGTGTATATAACGTAATTTCCTAGAAACTACATGATGTATGGTGACTTTATCACTTTGAGGGCTAATGAAATGTATGAAGCAGAGGCCAGGTGCAATGGCTCACATCTGCAATCCCAGCACTTTGGGAGGCTGAAGCAGGTGAGATCAGGAGTTTGAGACTAGCCTGGCCAACACAGTGAAACCCTGTCTCTACTAAAAATACAAAAATTAGCCAGACGTGGTGGCACATGCCTGTATTCCCAGCTACTCAGGAAGTTGAGGTAGGAGAGTCGCTTGAAACTGGGAGGTGGAGGGTGCAGTGAGCTGAGATAGTGCTTGAGCCAGGGCAACAAGAATGAAACTTCATCTCAAAAAACAAACAAAAAACAACTAATATCACAATATTGGTTGTTTTTTGTTTTTTGAGATGAAGTTTCAGCCACCTTTTAATATCAGTCATCTTTTAAGAAGCCAGACTTTACAAAATTTGTGAAGACACAGATGTCATTCTTCTGTTTTTTTCTTTGGATTTCGAAAATATATTTACGAAGATGTTACTTATTAACATATATGCATTTATTATTTTTAATAAACGAGTATTTTTAACACTCCTTAGTTTTATTTATTTATTTATTTGTTTTTAAGACAGGGTTTCACTCTGTCCCCCTGGCTGGAGTGCAATAGCACGATCTTGGCTCACTGTAGCCTCAACCTTCCTAGGCTCAGGTGATCCTCCCACCACAGCCTCCCAAGTAGCTGGGACTATAGGCACTCAGCTGATTTTTATGTTTTTTTTTTGTAGAGATGGGGTTTCACCATGTTGCTCAGGCTGGTCTTGAACTCCCGGGCTTAAGCTTTCACCTGCCTTCGGCTCCCAAAGAGCTGGGATTACAGGTGTGAGCCAACTACACCCGGTCAACACTTCTTAGCTTTAATTTTTAGTGAAGTAAATGTTCATAGGTATGATGCATAAACAAAAATTATTTGGGGGTATTCAATAACTTCTAAGAATATAAAGAAGTAATGAGACTACAAAAGAACTGTAAGAACAAATCATGTCTTGGGCCAGGTGTGGTGGTGGCTCATGCCTGTAATCCCAGCACTCTGGGAGGCTGAGGTGGGTCAGGAGTTCAAGACCAGCCTGGCCAACATGGTGAAAGCCTGTCTCTACTGAAAAAAAAAAAAAAGAAAAAAAAAAAAGAAAGGAAAAATCATCCGGGTGTGGTGGCACGTGCCTGTAATCCCAGCTACTTGGGAGGCTGAGGCGGAAAAGTGCTTAAACCTGGGAGGTGGAGGTTGCAGTCAGCCGAGATCGCACCACTGCACTCCAGCCTGGGCGACAGAGCGAGACTCCATCTAAACAAAAGAAAAACAAAAACAAAAACAAATCATGTCTCTTCTTTCAAGGTACAGAGCTTAATATTGGCCAGGCATGGTGGCTTGCACCTGTAATCCCAGTACTTTGGGAGGCTGAGGCAGGAGGATCACTTTAGTCTAGGAGTTTGAGACCAGCCTGGGCAACACAGAGAGACCTCATCTCTCCCAAATATAAAAATATGAGTTGGGCATGGCGGCGTGTGCCTGTGGTCCCAGCTACTTGGGAGGCTGAGGTGGGAGGATCACTTGAGCCTGGAAGCTTGCAGCTGCAGTGAGCTGTGATCATGTCCTTCCTTGCACTCCAGCCTGGGCACAGTGAGTCTCTGTCTCAAATAAAATGACAACAACAAACCATAAAACATTCTAATTGAATACTCCTAAAAATGTTGTTTCTCTAATGATATAAATGCAGCCCTATAGCATGCAATTTGGTAAACTTTCCTTGCTCTTGGTATTTATTGATTGAAGGTACTACTTTCCTTGAGTAACTCGTACAATTGAGAGAGAGTGACTAAGAAGGACATTTGTCTAAAGCCATAATCAATATTTTGAATCAAAAACTGTGAACTAATATATGCCAGTTGGTGGTAAGAGGCACTAACAGAAGTGGCCAAAATCAAATCATTAAAAGCAAACTGAATTTCTACTGGCAGAATCAGGATTCAGGATCAAAACTAATTTTTTAAAGAAAAATGAGACATGAGTAAGCCAGATACTATTCCATACTCACCGAAACGGTTAGTGAATCCTGTACATCTTTATGACTAACCAACTGAACATTGCCATCTTCATAATAGTGAACCTGTGTGAGACAACGTTTGAGCATTTTTAGGGAAGTTCATAGAGAAACCTGTTACTTAGGACAGAAATCCATGCTTTATCTTTTAGATGATGAGCCATTTTATCACTGCTGAACAAATAATTAATATAACTAACGATAATTCACAATGATGGTTAATTAATCCACAGAACATTAAGAATGCTTTTTCCTTAGCAGGGAAAACTGATTATTAAGTTCGACAAACATTTGTTATGTGCTTTTCACATTCTAAGCACTGTGCTAGGCATTGCAAATACAAAGGTAAGTAAGATCCCACTCTTAACAATATTAAAATAATTAAAGTCATTAAACATTAGCTTTTCTCTGTGAAAACCAAGGATTTTTAATGGATCCTAATACCTAATATCTAGCACATTTCTCCATTTTGGTAAGCAGATCTGAATAGATACAGGAAAAGTCTAATTGAGGGTTAAAGATGGACAGAAAGCAAGTATTTTATTGGTAAAGCAGATATTTTTAAAAAGATAGAAGTAGTTCTGAATAAAGTGAAGAGCTATAATTATGAAAACAATTAGTAAAAAGGAGGAGACAGACTAACAAATCAATGACATTTTAGGTTCAGTAAGTTTTGGCAACTTAGAAGATAGGTTTAGTCACCTTGACAAGGCTACTAACTGGTCATACAGAAAAGGATAAGGGTATCCTTTTGTGCATTTGAATAGGATCTTGAAAGAAGCAGTTGTTACCTAAGTGGACAAGGTAGAGAAGGACATCTACCAAGGAGATAAAAAATATAACAGAATGGAGTGTAACTGGTTTAAACAAGAACAAAGAGCTCACTGCATATGAATATGTACAAAAAAGGAGTGTGGCAGGAAACGTTGCTATGAAATTGGAGAAATAGACTGTGAAGAACAAAACACTTTATAAACCTTGTTAAGAATTCAGACTACTCAGGAGGCTAGGATGGGAGGATCACTTGAGGCCAGAAGTTTAAGACCAGTCTGGGCAATATAGCAAGATCCCCATCATAGGGAAAAAAAGAATTCAGCTATCCCATTATAGGTGGCACATAGGAAAAGGAATGTTTTAGAAAGATTACACTTGTGCCATGAAGAAAATAAAATGGAAGTAGCTGATATTAGAGCCATAATGCTAGAACAATAGTCCAGGTAATGCCATTTACCTAGTGCTACGATCTGAATGTTGGTGCCTTCCCAAAATTCTTATGTTGGAATCTAATACCAAATGTGACAGTATTAAGAGGAGAGGCCTTTGGGAAGTGATTAGGTCATGAGGGTGAAGCCTTCATGGGATTAGTGCCCTTCTAAAAGAGGTTCAGTCAAGCTCCCTTGCCCTCTTCTACCTCATGAGGACACAGCATTTACCCCTTCTGTCACATGAGAATGCATAAGGTATCACCCATGAGAAACAGAACTTGCCAGACACTGAATCTAACAGCATCTTGATCTTCAACTTCTTACTCTCCAGAAGTGTGAGAAATACATTTCTGCTGTTTATAAATTACCGAGTCCAAGGTATTGTGTTATAATAGGCCAAACAAGGACAGGCACAGTGGCTCATGCTTGTAATCACAGCCAAGGTAGATGGATCACTTGAGGTCAGGAATTCGAAAACAGTCTGGCCAACATGGTGAAACCCCATCTCTACTAAAAATACAAAAAAATTAGCCAGGTGTGGTGGCAGGCGCCTGAAATCCCAGCTGCTCAGGAGGCTGAGGCAGGAGAACTGCTTGAATCTGGGAGGCAGAGGTTGCAGTGAGCTGAGATCGTGCCATGGCACTCCAGCCTGGGTAACAGAGAGACTGTCTCAAAAAAAAAAAAAGCCCAAACAAAGACATCTGGTCTATGCTACCAGGAGATATCTGAACAAAACAGGATGTTTTGAGGGATAAAGCAGAAAAGGGAAAGAGAAGAACAACAATCTTCACTTACTTCATTTCACTTACTTAGTAATCTTAGCTGTGCTAGCTATTAGTTATTAAGCCTTTACTATGTGTTAGACACTGTGCAAACACTTCACCATTACTGATATTCCCTCATTTAATCATTACAAAAACTATTAGATGAGGATTACTACTAACCCTATTTTATAGCTGAGGAAACAGACTTGCTTTGAGGCAGTTATTAAACAATAACTTATCCATGTTCACATACCAAGTAAGAGGGGGAGCCAGGATTTGAATTAGGTCAAATTCCAGAGCTATTCAACATGTGTAATACCTCCCAATGCTATGTTTTGTCAAAAAGTTAGGAATTCCTTGATCTAGGTAGAAATAAAGTGTCTCAGCAGGGGCTGACTCTTTGTGGATATCATTAGAAGGGCATAACAGCTAAGCTCCATCTACCTATTTGCAATAAAAAGACTTCCCTGGACAACATGAACCTCCTACATATCCTTAAAGGACAAAAATAAGTATCTTCTTTAATGGGTACAAACAGCTGGCTCCATCCAGATGGGCAGAAGAAGCTAGACTTTCCATACCCTCTCTAAACCTTGAAGTTTTACCTTTTGGCTTTTTAAGAGGTTAAAGAAGAAAAGGCAATATAAGAATCCACTGAGAACAGGCAGTGGCTCACACCTTTAATCCCAGCCCTTTGGGAGGCCAAGGCGCGCAGATCACTGAGGTCAGGAGTGCAAGATGAGCCTGACCAAAATGGCAAAACCCCGTCTCTACTAAAAATACAAAAAAAATTAGGTGGGTGTGGTGGTAGGTGCCTGTAATCCCAGCTACTTGTAAGGCTGAGGCAGGAGAATCATCTGAACCCAGGAGGTGAAGGTTGCAGTGAGATGAAATTGTGCCACTACATTCCAGCCTGGGCAACAGAGCGAGACCAGAATCCACTGGAGACGAAATGAAAATCCATTGGAAAAGAAGGGCGATAATGAGAACCACTAATATTTACATGTAAAATCAGAACAGCAAAGATGTGGGCAAAAAAGACTAGGCTAAATGATGACATATAAAGGTTAAAATCCCAATAGATAAGAATATTTAAAATATAGGTAGGTCATACTCAAATATCAGCTTTGTTTTTTCATTAAAAACTAGATGGTTCTTTCATTAAAAAGAACATTTGGTAGGGGAATGAGTACAAACAGGGTGGGAGATATGTAAAAAAAAAAAAAAAACTCAGAGAGCTAGCTATAGAAGAAACAAGATCTTTTGTATTTCCCAGAACTCGTCTGAAGAAAGGAGGTTATGCAGAGCACATTCATGTTGTTCAAGAATAAAGACTATGCAATTAGTTTGAACTTCTGTTATGTTTCTTAATTAGGACATGGAAAAGAATATACAGTAAGGTCAATAAGCCTCACTGTTTATGATCTCAATAAAAAATTCTAAAATATATTCATTACCTAATACACTAATGATATTATAATGTTTAGAAATTAACCCAGCCTGGACAACACAGTGAGACCGTGACTCTAAAAAAAAAATAAAAAAATAAAAAATAGCCAGGTACAGTGGTGTGTGTTTCTACTAGCAGGTACTTGGGAGGCTGAGGTGGGAGGATCATTCAGTTGAGGAGTTCGAGGTTGCAGTGAGCTATGAAAGCACCACTGCACTCCAGCCTAGGTGACAGAGTGAGACACATCATTTCAAGAAATAAATTAAGCTCAAATTATATGTGTTCTAACACCTTTTCTAGGTCTCATCTGCTAATATGAAAATGATTCAATTAACTAATACAAATTTCAAAATGACTGCCATCAACATAAATCCTCCGAAATTGTTGCCTTCTCAGAATGATGTTTTTGCCTATAGACTAGCCTGAAAGGCTAAATATCTTAATGACTTTTCCAAATAATTTTCACTCCAAAATTTAAAAGATATGTAAATAAATTAAGCCTTCCCCAAAAGTGTGATCAATCTGTGCTTAAAAAGGTTTAAATGTTGGTCTGTACACTGCTTACCAGAAATTATCACACTTTGTGATGCGTGCTCGTTTCACAGGTTTGCACTGGCTAAAATACAAATGGCTGTTTCTATCCAGAAACAAAATGAAACTTACTTACATAAAATTGACAGTAAGCTTCCTTACTATAATGCTGATACCACAGTTACAGGAAGTTAATGCTGATGCCATAGTTACAAAAGGTCCAGAGTGTTAGGCTACTAACATATTTGGTTAACAGAAACAGAACAATATGCCGTTTTATGTTGCACCTTCCTAGAAGCTGACCCTAAGACAAAGATTAGAGCAAAAGTAATTTATTCGGGAGCAAATCCCACAGAGCTACAACAGGGACAGAAGTGAGACACATGAGGAGAGGAAGCCTTACAGGTACATTTATGAGCAGGTTATAGTTGTGGGCATTAAGCTCTGGAAAACTAAAAAGAACATGCTTCAGAGCTGTCCCACTTGAGGAAGCTGCCATATTTACCAACTCTTACATATCACTGAGGGCTGCTCCAAGAGCTATGAACTCAACACCAGCCTGTCTCACCTGAGTAGGGCATGCTCCTATGGCCAGGAGCTACTTGTTGCAGGAAGCTACAGGTATATATGAAAAGAGCAGATTTATTTTTACAGAATTTATTACCTATACACTTCATTAAATTAGAGCATTAAAAAAGACAACTCTTGGCAGGGTGCAGTGGCTCAACTGAGGTCAGGAGTTCAAGATCAGCCTGGCCAACATGGTGAAATCCATGTTTACTAAAAATACAAAAATTAGCTGGGCGTGGTGGTGCACACCTGTAACTCTAGCTACTTGGGAGGCTGAGGCAGGAGAACTGCTTGAACCCAGGGAGGCAGAGGTTGCAGTGAGCCAAGATCCCACCACTGCACTCCAACCTGGGAGATAGAGCGAGACTGCATCAAAAAAAAAAAAAAACTCTTGGTAATTGTTGTTAAAGCATAGCTTAACACAATATAATATAGGTACAAGTAGGTACTGATCTTCTCAGTTATCTATAACTACTCTGACCTTAGAGCTAGTGAGGCTTAAAAATTAAACCACCCTAAATTTAAAGTCAAACCTCTGCTAGGATATTAAATTTCAATCCACATAGGCATCAAATGAGTTAAAAGCTATCTTATTCAGGTGCCTGTCTACCCTGACATCAGCATTAGAAATCTACTTCTGGGCTGGGCGCAGTGGCTCACACCTGTAATCCCGGCACTTTGGGAGGCTGAGGCAGGCGCATCACTTGAGGTCGAGAGTTCAAGAACAGCCTGACCAACACGGAGAAACCCCATCTCTCCTAAAATTACAAAATTAGCCGGGTATGGTGTGCATGCCTGTAATCCCAGCAACTCGGGAGACTGAGGCAGGAGAATCACCTGAATCCGGGAGGCAGAGGTTGCAGTGAGCTGAGATCGAGCCATTGCACTCCAGCCTGGGCAACAAGAGCAAAACTCTAAGAAATCTACTTCTGCTTGGCTATTTATATTCCAAAACACTAGCCATTCTCTCTCTGGGGTGGGGGGCAGAGGTTGCAGTTAGCCGAAATAATGTCACTGCAGTCCAGTCTGGGTGACAGCGTGAGACTCTATCTCAAAAAATAATAATAATTATTATTAATTTTAATTCTTTCCTAAAACTCTGTTTGATAATTCCTAGAAATATTTTATGTTACCTTTAAAGGAAAAATAACAATAATTATGTTGCCATATACTCTATATACTATCCTTTAACAACTCAGAATAGCTTTGTTTACCTCCCCAAGAAGGAAGCTTCTATTTCTATTCACTGCCAGCAATCTCCCTTTGCATCTACATATACTTGGTCCTTATTTAATACCAGAGCAACTTGTACATGTTTTAAAGATGTGAAATTTTAAGTCTATAAACATGTTGGAATCTCACCTGAATCTTAAGCACTCCAACCACCTGGGCTGTAGGTGGTGTGATGGTGAACTTCCACTCTGATCTCCAACGACCATTCCTATTAAAACACACATATAACATTGCAGAATTAGCAATAAGCACAAGAAAGAGGTGATCTGCCAGTGAGGTACGGAAGTTGGGAAAGAGGGGTGCAAAAAAAGGAAAAAAAAAGCGTTATTTCCAGTTTGACAAACTCAAAGCTCTGTCTACTCAAATATAAGTTTGGATCTAAGTGGCCTGACCATAAGCCTTTTCTAAGTTATTTTGACTTCCATTTTTCCTTTTTTCCCTTGAAATGGAAAACCATGCCTATTCTGCTCATGGGAGGCTCTTCCAAAATCAGATGAATAGGCTGCCAAGTTATACAATTAACTCAAGTAGCATTAACCCTAACCCAAGTAAAACTCAGGTTTTCAACTGGGCATGTTACTAATCACTTGTTGTCACTCAAAATAAGAGTAACTTTTAAAGGAAAATATAATTATAAAGCCTTAGAGCTGTAAGAAATCTAAATAATGTCTAAATCCTTCATTCATACATAGGAAACTGAAGTCTGTAAGTTAAATAATTATTCCAAGCTAGCTAGATTAAAAACCAAGTCTCAATTGCTGGCTTCCTTCCTATATAAATGAGATATAAATAGAAGAGAATATCTATTTCTTACCAGAAGTTTTTAGGCTGAAACTGGTGGCTTTCAATACATGCAATAATAGTCTGTTGCCCATCAATAGTTTTAGCATAAACCTATTGTTTAGAAAAAAAAAAAGTTAAGACTCCAAACATATTTAATTTAAACAACACGCATTGTACAAAAGCAGTGTGTTAAATCCTTTGGGGAGACAAAGAATCAGATAAAATGAGCTTACAACACAATAGTGTTCATGGGATATGAACACAAAGCAGAACATACTAAGTTCTACCAGAGACAGTGATACAATGAAAACAGAGGGAAATACTGCTCCTGGTTTGGGGTACAAGGCAAATGCCATTGAGGCTGGGTCTTACAAGACAGATGAGATTCTGATAAGCAGAGACTGAGAATAAATGTGAGACAGGAAACTGAGGGCTTGTTCAGTGAAATCGCTGATAATTCCGTCAGGTTTAAAGGGTTTGTGGTGAAGTGGACTAATAAAAGACAAAACAGAATGGTAGATTTAGGTCATGTAATAGTAGATGTAAAGTAAGAAGTTTAAGACTTTATTCTACAGGCATTGGAGAGATAGCAAAACATGACTAGAACTAAGAATAATCAATACTGGTATACAAGGTAAAACAGAAGAAAAGCTGACGCTTGGTTAGGATGCCACAGGATTAATCTGGGCAACAGCCAGAGTTGTATTAATGAGAACGGAAAGGAAGAGCTGCATACAGAATGTAGAAATACAATCAAAGTCTAGCAGTATATGGCGAATGAAGGGCAAAGGAAAGAAGGAACTTAAAGGGTGACTAAAAAGATAGTAGTGTCATTAACCAGGAACTACAGATGGAGATGTCTAGTTAGTAGTTAGAAACACTAACTCTTCCTTAGTGTGGGAGAGGTGAATGGAAATGCAATCACCAAGGGAAAGAAAAAAAAAATAGTGCTTTATAGTCCACAAAATATGTTTCTACATATATTTTCTTTTACCTACAATAAATCTGATAAAATATATTGTTATCATCTACAGATGAGAAAGTTAAAGTTCACAAAGCTTCTTGCCTAAGGTCACTCAGAAAGTGGTAAAGGCAGAATCCAAACCCACTGTTTTTGTGACACCGAAGTCTGTGTTACTTTACCTGCATTAAATGACTATGAACTTTGGGGCATGCCTACATTTACAAAGGTAGGGGAAAAAAGAATGCAGTACAAACAGAGTAACAATAATTACGCCAGACACAGTGGCTCATGAGGTCAGGAGATCGAGTCCATCCCGGCCAGTATGCTGGAACCCTGTCTCTACTAAAACACAAAAAATTACCCAGGTGTGGTGGTGGGCATCTGTAGTCCCAGCTACTTGGGAGACTGAGGCAGAAGAACTGCTTGAACTCGGGAGGTGGAGTTTGCAGTGAGCTGAGATTGTATCACTGCTACACTCCAGCCTGGCAACAGAGTGAGACTCTGTCTCAAAAAAAAAAAAAAAAAAAGAATAATTAGGGGCTGGGAACAGTGGCCTCAGGTCTGTAATCCCAGCACTTTCAGAGGTCGTGGCAGGGGATCTTCTCAGGTCAGAAGTTCAAGACCAGCCTGGCCAACATGATGAAACCTCATCTCTACTAAAAATACAAAAATTAGCCAGGTGTGGTAGTGGGTGCCTATAATCCCAGCTACTCAGGGAGGCTGAGACAGGAAAATTGCTTGAACCTGGGAGACAGAGGTTGCAGTGAGCTGAGGTTGTGCCATTGCACTCCAGCCTGGACAACAAGAGCAAAACTCCATCTCAAAAAAAAAAAAAAAAAAAAAAGAAAGAAAATAATAATAATTGGGGTTTGCTAATATAGCAGCCTAAGTAAAAGATAATTTCCAGAAGAAGCTGACTAGCTTCAGTGTGAAAGGCCATATGAAGGGCAAGGATGAGGAAAAGGAAACTAGACCCGGTAACTCAGGAACCGTTAGTAATCTCAGAGAGCAGTTTCTGTAAAATGGGGACTAAAGTAAAAAATTTAGAAGTACACAGAGGAAATGGCACTAGCCAGGGAAGAATGTACACTGATTTGGTGGTGATGCAGACAGAGATGAGAGAAGGGAAAAAGTGGAGAAGAGGAAGAAAGAGCAAGGTAGAAAGGGCAGGTAAAGAGCTGGGCATGGTGGCTCATGTCTTGTAGTCCCAGCACCTTTGGAGGTGGAGGCAGGTGGATCACTTGAGCCTAGGGGTCTGAGATCAGCCTGGGCAACATGGTGAAACCCCATCTACACACACACACACACACACACACACACACACACACACACACACAGAAATAGAGAGAGAGAGAGAGAAAGATAGAGAGAGAGAGAGAGAGAGGGGAATTAGCCAGGTGTGGTGGCGTGCACCTGTGTGGTCCTAGCTACTTGGGAGGCTGAGGTGGGAGGATCCCTTGAGCCCAGGAGGTAGAGGTTGCAGTGAGCCTGGGCAACAGAGCAAGACCTGCCTCAAAAAAAAAAAGAGAAATAACTTACAGGAATTATGATTGAGGAAAGATTTTTATTCCCTTTAAGGACAGGAGAAATAAATCTTAAGTAAAGAGAAATATATCAGAAGATAAAACCAAGTCCCAAGAAGATGTCTTGAAATACATAGGATAGTATGAAATCAAGAATAAGGACCCTTCTTCCTCAGATTCAAGCAGGGAAGACTTCTGAATATGGAGAAAAGAGATATAAAAAGATTTTCTGTCAGTGTCAATCCTTACAAAACATGAGAGATTAGATGCCTGCCAAAGGACAATGAGAAATTTTTGGAACTATATAGAAAATGCAACAGGGAATAATGAGATGAAATTACAGACTACCAAGCAGGTCAGCTGAAGACATAGGACACTGATGCACAGCAGACACCATCAGAACAACTCCATAACTTTCTGTAGCTTATTTGATATCTAGTAAGGTTATTTGATGCTGGAGGTCTCCAAATTAAGAATGGGTATAGTCACAAACTTTGAATGGGTAACAATAAAATCAAAGTATATTTAGGATTAAAAAGTCAATTTCTAAATGGGAGTCTGTCACGTCTCCCCTTTGCAATCCTGGTTTCCAAACAGGAATTCTGGACTTGTCTAGTCCACCATAATGGGTCTTCTTCATTATTTAAAAAACAAAAACAAACAAAAAAACATAATGACACCTAGCCTAACATTTACCTAACATTTATTACAGCTCACTTTGTGCCAGGCATTGTTCCAGGCATATATTACATATATTATTAATTCACTAAATCTTCACAACAATCCTATGAGGTAAAAACAATTATTTCCATTTGACAGTCATAGAATTGAGGTACAGAGATGTTAAGTAATTTACCTAAGGTCATACAACTAATTAATTGGCAGGGCCAGAATTCCAACCAGTTAGTAAGGCTTCAAAGTAGGTGCTCCTAACTGTATTCTAGATTGCCATGTAACTCATCATCATTGAATATTTAAAATATTCTAGTGAAAATTGCTGAGATATTTTCTCACAACAAAAAAATAATCAGTATGTGTAGTAATCCATGTTATTAGCTCAATAGAGCCATCCCACAATGTATATGTATTTCAAAAGATCATGTTGTACATACCATATTTTTATTTGTCAATTTAAAAATAAATGCAAAAATAAAAAACATTTTAACGAATATTTTTCTTAATATACCATAATTTTATAAAGGAAAAATCATGATAAAGCCAAATTTATCTATTTTTACACTCAAGAGGTAGTAAAAGAAAATCAGGCTGGACACAGTGGCTCACACCTGTAATCCCAGCACTTTGGGAAGCTGAGGCACGTATATCACCTGATGACAGGAGTTCAAGACCAGCCTGGCCAACATGGCGAAAGCTCGTCTCTACTAAAAATATAAAAATTAGCCAGGTGTGATAGTGGCGCCTATAATCCCAGCTATTTGGGAGGCTGAGGCAGGAGAATTGCTTGAACCTAGGAGATGAAAGTTGTGGTGAGCCGACACAGCGCCTCTGCACTCCAGCCTGGGTGACAGAGTGAGACTCTGTCTCAAAAGAAAAGAAAATCAAACTACTCTTGATTAAAAAAGAAAAAAAAAAAAAAAATTTTTTTTTTTTTTTGAGACAGAGTCCCACTGTGTTGCCCAGGCTGTAGTGCAGTGGTTCACTGCAACCTTCACCTCCCTGGTTCAAGTGATTCTTGTGCCTCAGCTTCCTGAGTGGTTGAGACTATGGTTGTATACCACCACATTTGGGTACTTTTTGTATTTTTTAAGTAGAGACAAGGTTTCATCCTGTTGACTAGGCTGGCCTCGAACTCCTGGCCTCAAGTGATCAGCCAACCTTGGCCTCCCAAAGTGCTGGGATTACTGGCATGAGCCACCATGCCCAGCCAATTGTTTAGTTCTAATAGTTTTGATTACCTAATATAAACATCTAAACTATATAGAAGTAGCTTTATGTAAAAATGCCTATATCAAAAACCCGTTAAATATGAGCAATAGCTAGATCAACAATCTTAGTATACATCTTTTTCCCCATGTCCAAACCAAAGACCTTTTAGATCTGGGTAAAAATACAAACAAGAAAAAAATTAGTTAAAAAGATTAATTTAAAAAAAGGAAAAAAAAAAAAACAAAGATCTTTTTCTGATAGGCGTAAAACATTTCTCAAAAGTAAATAAGTCATATGTGAAAACAGAATACACTGGGATCTAAATTTTTTGTGCACTGGGATTTTAAAAAGAAATTTTCCGTATAAAAATTTCTATTTTTTTCTAAACCCTTAGAAAGAAGAAAAGGAAAAAAAAAAAAAGAAAAAAAAATTTCCATTTATTTATACCCCTTTCCAAAATGATTTAAGGAATAAAATGCAGAGAAGAAAGGAAAACTAAGAAGAAAGAAGTGATGTTTGGCAGGCCAAAGCCTCCAAAGGATAAGGTAAATATAAGAAAATATTCTCTGATAACAAAGCAGTCAGATACTTAACAGTACAGAAGCCGTTGGAATAATGGTCTTTCACATAGGCTCTTAAAGCACTGTCACAGGATTCTCTCCAAGACTTCAAACCTCCATCAACTTCTTCTGGCTGGGGGTCACTTGCTTCTTTCCGTAGGTGATCAAATTTAAATGAAATTTTGTTTCTTGGATCTAAAAATCTGCTATTACCCAGGTCACCATGCTCTGTAATTAAGACCTTCCAAAGAATAATTAAAAATATGAGTAACTTTGTAAAAAAGACAATTCTTACTGCCTTTTGTGAAACAAATCAATAAAAATTCTGAGGCAGTTAATTTATCATTTAGTCAGATTTCTCTTTCACATTAATTTTTAAACCAAGTCCCATGCTATTAAGAATATTGTATTTATGAATAAGTCAACTTATGCTACAAAATATCCCCCATATTAATAATATACTTCAGTTCTTGGTTTCTGATATCTATATATGTACTTTATACATAGCTGTATTAATTTTTATGTACACTTTTGTATATTTTTTCACATATTTTCCCAGAGGCATTATGAAACTTTAGGGTCATTATTACACTTAGCATTTAAAATAGGTAGTACATTCATACGGTTCAAAAATAAAAAAATACATAAAGTGAAGTGTTTTCTCATCCCATCTCCCAACCACCAAAATCCTAAAGTAATAAGTAGTCTAAATTAAGGAGGAATGCCTCTGTTTTTCCATTAAATATAATGTCTGCTGTTATTCTTATCAAGGAGAATTAAACATAGCTGGAAAACCTGTAAGACTCAAATCCTTCCATTTTCACTGTTCTTGTTGCTCTCCTTTCTTGTTAGAGAAACCGGCAGTATTATCGGAGAGAGGAAGAATATCCTAACATGTAGAATATTTACAAAACTATAAAAACTAAGACCAATTTATTTTGCACCTGGTTCAGACATCTGCTTTGGTTTCTATTAATAGGATCTCTACTATCTGCCAGGCACAGCCTATCTAAAAGGCAATTATTACCTGATCTTCATATCCTTCTGTCTTCACAGGCGTGAACTGATCCATGTTATACTGCGCAAATGCACTGTTTTTTAAAAAGTTGAAAAAAAAAAAAAAAAAGGAGGAAGAGAGAAAAGAATTAAGTGTAAATAAACACAAAAGGTAGTTTAAAGAAATGTGAAAATACTATCCAGTACTTTTCCCCATTCTACCCAGACATCCAGTGTTAACATAATGCCTTCCAGCTTTCTGAAGGGACTCCTCTCCACAGGGATCTTAGAAGCTCCTCAAGCTCTGAAACTACCTTTTCCTCTCTGCTTTAAGCTCCAAAAGACCTTCTACTTTAACAAGTTTTCCAAAGTTGTTTTTTTTTTTTGAGATAGGGTCTCACTAGGTTGCCAGGCTGGCCTCAAACTCCTGGGCTCAAGAGATCTTCCCATCTCAGTTTCCTGGTAGCTGGGACTACAGGTTCGTACCACCACATTTGGCTAATTCCAAAGTTTGAAGCAATCTGATTATTATATAATGTGAACTGCCAATAATTTTAATCTTTTAGGCAGGAGCTTTCAGTAATTCAAAAGAATCTTCCACTGAAAAATGATTTTTTTTTCTCAGCTATCAGAGTCATAAGAAACTACAATTAAATGTCAGAAGGCATCTGACACTAGAAGAAGGTGAAGTGAAGTTGAGCATGAGTCAAGTATAAAAGCAGAGCCTCAGGCACAGAGTAGTTATTTTGAAGAGGTATGCATAAATAATCAAAGTACATGCCTAATATTACTGTTTGTCCAAAGCTTGATTTATTACATTCTGCATTTTTAATGGCTCTCTAATACATTTAACAAAGCTAAACCAAAAGACAAAGTAAAAGAAAGAAGTAAGAGCTACACTTATATTCTTGAAAAATATCAGTCTTCTCACAGAATTCCCAATTTTAACCTACTAAAATAGACTGCTAGGATTTTTTCCCCCATGTCAGACAGGTAATGTGCCAACATAACAAGGTTTGAGGGAGGCACATCTCACACATGCATGTGAAAGCTCAGTCATCACACTTATAAACTACAGAAGGATGGAGTTTTAAACAGTGTTAAACTTTCCCTAGGCTTTTCAAGACAAAGCAAAGTAATAAATATTTAAACTTCTTAAAATAGTTAAAGCCAATTTTCAATCTTACTTTGTTAAAGTTATTATTGTATTATTTGTTTTGTTTTGAGACAGAGTCTTGCTCTGTCGCCCAGGCTGCAGTGCAGTGGTGGGATCTTGGCTCACTGCAACCTCTGCCTCCCAGATTCAAGCAATTCGCCTGCCTCAGCCTCCCAAATAGCTGGGATTACAGATGCACGCCACCACATCCAGCTAATTTTTGTATTTTTAGTAGAGATGGGGTTTCGCCATGTTGGCCAGGCTGGTCTCGAACTCCTGACCTTAGGTGATCCACCCACCTCAGCCTCCCAAAGTGCTGGGATTACAGGCATGAGCCACTGCACCCAGCCAAAAGTTATTACTGTGTTTTAAAATGAACCATCTCCTTAAAACACCACATCCCCATGTAGCAAAATTAATCCTAAACACACTGGCTCTGCAGAAAGGATATAAATTCTTCATAAAAAGTAGAATAGTTAAAAAAAAATGTGTAGGAAATAAATAAATATTCTATTCTAGCATATGTCCTAAGACCATAGATTATAAACACCAACACCAAAATGTGCTTACCTTTAATTGCATCTCAAGTAAATAGGATCTCCATTCTACCAGCTGCCTAAGCCAAAAAACTTGGGGTGATCTTTGATTCTTCTCTTTCTCTCACACTTTACATCCAATCCATCAGTAAATCTTATAGGCTCTACTTAAGTATATATTCAGGATCTGACTCCTTCCTACCACCCACACTGCTACCACTCTACTCCAACCACTAGCATCTATTCCTGAACTATTCTAATAGTCCTGCAATTACTTATATTACTTCAGCTTTTGCCCCTCTACACAGCAGCTATTGATTATTCTAAAATATAAGTCTCATTATGTCATTCTCTGCTCAAAACAATCTCACTTCCAATCTCTGTCAGAATGAAATTCACTCTTTAACATGACTTATAACACCCTACTTATTCCAGAAGTACTGGAATTATCTGGGGATGGTCCTGGTGGTCAGAAATCCAGGAAAGATGGCAAATCATAGCTACTTCAGGACCTTCATTTTATATAGACTGAAGGCAATAATTATGATAATGATTATGAAAACATTAATTGAGCACTTACTATGAGGACTATGGCAAAGGGACTAAAATGCCTTTTTTTTTTTTTTTTCCCGAGACAAAGTCTTGCCCTGTCACCCAGGCTGGAGTTACAATGGCATGATCTCAGCTCACTGCAACCTCCACCTCCTGGGTTCAAGTGATTCTATTGCCTCGGCCTCCCAAGTAGCTGGGATTACAGACACACGCCACCACACCTGGCTAATCTTTGTATTTTTAGTAAAGACGGGGTTTCACCAGGTTGGGCATCCTGGTCTCTAACTGCTGATCTTGTGATCCACCTGCCTTGGCCTGCCAAAGTGCTGGGATTACAGGCATGAACCACCATGCCTGGCCTGAAATGCTTTAATACAGAAATAAAACTGAATTTTTCTTCTCTATGGAAAATCAAATATTTGGGTCCAGGAAAATTCTCTTAACAAAAAGGTTCCCCGAGATCCTATAGTCTGTAAGAACCAGAAGATTTATAAATACAAAGCTTTAGTGTCAGTGCAATTAAAGCAAATGAAGTATCTGAACTATGTACCAACTTCTCTTGATCTTAGCCCAAGGCTGAGAAGCTACATACCAACATCTCTTTGCTTCTAATCGGAAACAGGACGATAGGCTTAGGTTGCAATCACACTTGGGTGATATTCAACACCCACCCCTTTCAGCTTCTCAAGTGATGTACCGAGCAGATTTATTGTGGGTGGCTCTCAAGGATAAAACTGGGACCAATATGGCAGGCAAATTGAAGAACTTGCCTTGTGAGATTGTGAATTCCTTATTACTAGAAGCATTCAGAGTAGATTAACTGTCTGTTGACAGATGTTGACAAGACTCTTTCAGTATAGAGGAGTTAAACTAGCAAATCATGAATGTCCTTTTCTAGTGCAGATTCTATGAATCTTAGAGAAACCATCATTAGAGTATATCTCTGATGTGAGCCTAGCTTCCTTAAAATAATGTATAATTAGGGTATCATTCATGATGATAATTCCAGGGACTTTATGATAATTATTTGTTGCTCTGCATCAATTTGTCCTTGTCCTCTTTCCCCACCCCTACCCACTCTAGCCATTATTCAATTCTTTACAAAGAATTTGGTTAATTAGCATTATTCCACTCTTTACAAAGGAACTCTGGGCCAGTTGGGTAGACAGCAACTGAAATAGAACTTTTTTTTTTTTAAAGACAGGGTTTCACCATGTTGGTCAGGCTGGTCTTGAACTCCCGACCTCAGGTGATCTGCCCACCTTGGCTTCCAAAGTGCTTGGATTACAGGCGTGAGCCACTGCGCCTGGCCGAAACAGAACTTTGTGTTGATGAGTAGAGTAGTAATAAAGCCAGATAATAGGGAGCCTTGAACGCTACAGCAAGTTTAAATTTTAATATAATATATGTGTGTGTGTGTGTGTGTGTGTGTGTGTGTGTGTGTGTATATATATATTATTTTATAATATATATATATATGTCACCATCATAATGTTTTTGAAGGCAAGGACAAAATGAAAATATTTTAGAAAGATTAATTAGCTTCACAGTGATGAGTCAATCACTAGATAACCTAATTATGCTTTTATCCTATGGTTAATTCTATTAAGACACTTTACTAATATCTGCTATTCTTTTTATTTTGAGACAGAGTTTCACTCTTGTTGCCCCGGCTGGAGTGCGATGGCACAATCTTGGTTCACTGCAACCTCTGCCTCCCAGGTTCAAGCAATTCTCCTGCCTTAGCCTCTTGAATAGCTGGGATTACAGGCGCCTGCCACCACACCTGGCTAATTTTTTTGTATTTTTAGTAGAGATGGGCTTTCACCATGTTGTGCAGGCTGGTCTCGAACTCCTGACTTCAGGTGTCTGCCCGCCATGGCTTCCCAAAGTGCTAGGATTATAGGCATGAGCCACCTTGCCCGGCCAATATCTGCTATTCTTAAACATTATCGTTCCTCATTGGCAGATCATTCCTATCTATAGCTACCCATTTAAAAACATTCAATATGAACTAGAACAACTATAAAGGAAAACCTGAGAGCTAAAATTAAACTCTGCTTTAATGGGGCTAATGTTGGCAGAAATAAAAATAGGTTCATATATTACAATAAGCTTTGATGAAGTAAACAACATTTAGGGGGAATATGTTTTCTCCAAGAAAAAAAAAAAAATGAGAATTGCTAAAACAAACTGCTTTATTTTGAAGTATTTTAAACTTCATTTTTAGGGTATTAGTTTACTGTCAACATAGTTTATCCAATGTCAGAATAACACTGTAAGTAGATTTGGAAAGGTACTTACTGTGCTGCCCCTTCCCTGAGGAGATTGTCATTATTAAGCAGTAGCCGAACATCTGAGGAGGAAAAAAATGTTATAATGTTCAGTGGAGGATAAATTTGAGAAATTTTAGCAGATTTCCAGGTTGAATTTTTAAAATTCAGGTTTTTTAAGATTAGTCTTCAGGTGTACTGTATGAGTAGAAATTCTAAACATGCAAATGAAAAGATGCTAATGTTAACAGATTTGTGTACAATTATGTGTGCTATATAGTCTCAAAGAACTTCGCAGCAAATGAAAAACATGGTTTATAGAAAGCTACAGTTAAAAGTGTTAATTTTATATCTAAATAAATCCTTTAATATGAGCAAAGATCAGCAAAATTCTTAAACACATTTTTCGTTGGAGAATCTAATATGGGGGTCTACAACCTTTTTAAAAAGCTGTGTGTCAGAAGTCTAGTCACTTTTCTTTTGGAAGGAGACAGTCTTTTGCTACTCAGAAACTACCAAGTATTAACTCCAAGAGGGAGGCTGATTACAAGGCAAAGGCCATTGACTTTCAGAGGTTCTGGAAGGCCTGGTAGCAGCCAATGTGTGCCAACAAAAACCAGCCCTCATGCCATGAGTAGCTTACCAATTCCTAACCTAATGCTTTGGTACCAGTTATTCTCATGTTATTCCTGTCAAGTATATTTGGTTGTCAGAATAAAACAAGGGACTTCTAACTACAAAGGACATTAATTTTGTCAGCCAATTATTTTTTTTGAGACAAAGTCTCACTCTGTCACCCAGGCTGAAGTGCAGTGGCACAATCTTGGCTCACTGCAACCTCTGCCTCCTGGGTTCAAGTGATTCTCCTGCCTCAGACTCTCAAGTAGCTGGGATGACAGGCACATGCCAACACACCTGGCTAATTTTTGTATTTTTAGTAGAGATGAGGTTTTACCATGTTGGCTACGCTGGTTTTGAACCCTTGACCTCAGGTGATCCACCTGCTTTAGCCTCCCAAAGTGCTGGGATTACAGGTATGAGCCACCATGCCCGGCCAGCTAGTCAAGAATTCATCTGAGCTAAAGTTCAAGAAGAACTGTCTATTGAAAACTAAAAATTTCAATAGAAAAAATTATTTTTCTAAATGTTACTAAGAATTTACATTTAGTCAATGTAAAAGAAAGACTAGAAAAAGGCTGCATTTGTTTCCTTTGCTGTTAGTGCTCAAAATCCATAAACAACTTTATAAAAAATATCTTGATTTATTTCTATTATACCCTATACCCCTTGAAGCAAATATTTATGTTTCTCCTGGTTACTTTTAGCAATTTTATCAATAAAGGTTATTATTGACCATTCTACCATCTGAGCTGGCTACAGAGGAATATCATACAGTTCCTCTCAAGTAGCTAACTTTCTAATATAAAATTAGAATCTCAAAATTAATGTTTGCTAACTGAACCAAGATGCACAACAATCATTATTTTACTTAAGGAATCTTTAAGATGCATTTAATAACTTAAGATGGGATTATAATGATTCAATTCATCATCAAATTTAAGATGCTCCATCACATTTTTCAGTTTGTAAAATGTATTAAGGCAGCAGATAGCATGGAAAGTTGTAAGTAATTGTGGTTCCCAAACCTGCTGTGATTCACAATCACCTGGTAAAGAACTTGATGAAGTACAGATTAATCAGTTCCATCTCAGACCTAATGAACATGAATCTGGAGGGCAGATAAAGCTGAATCTGCTATTTGACAAGCTTCTAAGATATGCTCAGTTTGGCCCCACTGAAAGTGTTCCATATCATGTGACTTCCTAAGTGAAAACACTGAAGAAAATTAAGCTATGACCTATAATGATAAAAATAAAACTATGAAAATAATTTAGTATTGCTTCTACATTTATTAATACTAATCCACCTTAAATCTTTTCTCACAAAAGACAGGCATACTAATTTATGGGTTAGGAGCTTTATTTTGACTCAGACCTGGGTTTGAATTCTTGCTTTGACATTTACTAACTGGGGGACCTTGGACAAGTTATTTTAATTTCTTTGAATCTTGATTTATTTAGTTATAGCTACAACAAGGCATAAGAATTAAAACAGATAGCAAGTATTCAATTAATAATGATGAGTAAGAGGGGATTAAAATAACTAAATACTAATCTTTACTCACCATTAAATACTTCATTAAATTCCCCTGGGGGTGCATGAGTGATGAACTTAGCAGCTATGCGTACCTAAAGAGAAACAAAATTTACACTAAAATAATTATGAAGAGTAACATACAAAAGGAGAAACAATTAACAAATTACAAAGTTTTCATCACATCCCTGAAGAAAGTGTCCTGTTCAAACCTTTACTGTTTAGGAGCCTTCAATTTTCTTTTCATAAAGCACCCCCAAAGCTGTTACTATCAGTACAGGTACATTCTGATTGAGGAATATATGTATTTTGATAATTCTGAATTTGTCTTTCAAAAACAGGGTAATAGTTTTTGACCAAATATATTATATTCACAAAAAGAGAAAGCTATGATCTTGATTCTGACCATTTAAGCAAAACTAAATAAAATATTAGCAAATTACGGGGTATACCAGTACCAATTATCCCAATGCAAGGATGGTTCAATATAAGTTAATGTAACTTACAAATTAAAAGAGCAAAACCATGTGATCATCTCAACTCATGCTGAAAAAAAATAAAATTTAACACCTATTACAATACCATTAAAAAAAAAACTTAGTTTTTGGTAGATATAAAATAAATATCTTTAACTTAACAAAGGGTTATCTATGAAAATTCTATACCAACCTTAATAATGAAGCACAAGCAATGTCACTAACTTTATTTATTAATTTATTTATTTTGAGATAGGGCCTTGGCTGTTGTCTAGGCTGGAGTGCAGTGGTATGATCAAGGCTTACTGTAGCCTCTACCTCCTGGGCTCAAGCATCTTCCTGCCTCAGACTCCTGAGTAGCTGGGGCCACACACACATGCCACCACACCTAATTCTGTAATTTTTATTTTTGTAGAGACAGGTTTCACAATGCCCAGGCTGGTCTCAACTCAAGGTTCAAGTGATCTTCCGGCCTTGGCCTCTCAAAGTGTTGGTATTATAGGTGTCAGCGGCTGTTCCTGCCCTGAGTCATCAACTTTAAAAGCAAGGCTAAGATGACTCCTACTGCTTCTGCTATTCAATACCATATTAGAGGTCGTAAGGAATGCTATGGAAAAACTTATTCTAGAGGTTATTAAACTTAACCTCTGCCCTCTGCCCCTGTTGCCATTCTCCCTTTCTGGATGTACTATTATAAATGGATGATAAAATGTTAGGTTCTAACCTGCTTATCTCATTGGTTTCCTCTATATTTATCTTTTTTGTCATTTTATGCTTTGCTTGGGGAAAATTCTCAACTCCAATTCACTAATGTATTCTTCATCTGTGCCCATTTTCCTAATCACACAATTTTTTTTTTCAGAGACAGAGTCTCGATATGTTGTCCAGGCTGAAGTACACTGGTGTGATCATAGCTCACTGCAGCCTCCAAACTCCTGGCGCCTCAGGAATCTGCCCACCTCAGCCTCCTGAGTAGCTGGACTTCAGGTTCTTGTCACCAGGCCCAGCGTAACAATTATTTTGACTATTCAATTTTTAATTTCCAATATTTTTGGTAATTTGTCTTTTTTTTTCGCATTGGCAAGTACGCACAGCAAAGCATTCTTTCAGTGTGTATGCAATCATCTCTATTACTTAATTTTTTTAGTTGTTTATTCTTAGCGACAGTATCTCACTTGATCCTCCGGGCTAGAGTGCAGCACTGTGTTCATAGTTCACTGTAAACTCAAACTCCTGGGCTCAAGTGATTTTCCTGCCTCAAGCTCTCAACCACAGGTGTGCCTTACCATGCCTGGCTAATTTTTTAAAAATTTTAATTGCCTGCAGAGAGAGGGTCTCACTTTGTTATCCAGATTGGTCTTGATATCCTGGCCCCAAGTGATCCTCCCACCTCAGCTTCTTAAAGCATTGAGATTACAGGTGTGAGCCACTGTGCCCAGCGTAACTACCCATTTTAAAGTCTTGTTCTATTGTTTCCTAAAAATTTAGATAGATCCTCTATTCACTGAGTTTGATTCTTCTCTTTCGTAGTATTGGTTTTCCATAAATGGTGCTCTGAATTTAATTTGCCTAGAGACAATAGGTTGTCTCTAGTGATTACAGGGGAGGGAAAGAGTAGATTTGCTTCTGCTCATCAGGATGTATTAACAGTTTATCTTGTGAGCCTAAAGTCCACAGGCTATGTGGGACACTGGTCTGCCTCTATGGTTCCCGTGCTAACACTCAGCGCTATATTCTGAGGACAAATGCTGTTTTTGTCTTCAGCTTAGCCCAAACAGGAGAGAAGGGAGGAGCTAAGTGGTCCAACTAGCTAGGGAGCAATTCTCCAATTAATCTACTCTATGACTGTTCTGGGTCCTTTCCAGAAGAACATGGTATATCTAACAATAAACTGAACCTTATTTCTCGATAGGTATCCTCTGCTGACTTCTTTATTTCCTTCAATTTCAAGTTATTGATGACCTCATCAAATTCAAACCATTCTTCAGCAGGAAAAAAAACTTTCAAGAGTCTTTTGAAAATAAAGCTGGGGCTAGGTGTGGTGGCTCACGACTCTAATCCCAGCACTTTGGGAGGCTGAGGTGGGCAGATCACTTGAGGTCAGAAGTTCGAGACCAGTCTGGCCAACGTGGCGAAAATCAAGTCTACCAAAAACACAATAATTAGCTAGGTGTGGTGGTGGGCGCCTATAATCCCAGCCACGTGGGAGGCTGAGGCAGGAGAATTGCTTGAACCCAGAAGGTGGTGGTTGCAATGAACCAAGACTACGCCATTGCACTCTAGCCTGGGCAACTGTGGGAGACTCTGTCTCAAAAAAAAAAAAAAAAAACAATTACAACTTTAATATCCCTAAGCTTATACAAATAATCTTATTGTTACTTTACTCTTATTCTGCAAACGACAAAGAAGAGCTGTTCTGTGATGAAACCAGTCAAGAAAGGCCTATTGATTGATGGAGCAAGGTAGAATGGAAAATCTGGGTTCCAAAAACTGTCTCTGTTGGTTCATTAGCTAACTAGATTTGTGATTCTGGAAACATTATTGTTTTTGGCCCTGCACTTTTCTCATTATAATCCAACTCTTCAAAAAGTCATATTAGAAGATCTGCAAAATTTCTTTTAGCTATAAAATCCTACAAACTTTTTAAAACTTGGAAGACAAAAGGTGGTATGTGGACTACCTGGAAACAGGCATCGGGAATTCACACCACAAAAATATACATTGGAATATTCTTAGGTACATAAAGTTTCAGAACCCTGCCTTGAAGGGTAATTACAGATAGTATATTATTTTTTCTGCCATGAAAACTGGTTGAGAGGAAATGCTCCATAAGGCTCTTATATTAACTGAGCAAAAACAATAAAAAGAGATTCTAAACAGGAAGAAATCCTGCTCAACTCATGAAAATTACACTACATAGGACTAACTATTACAACATAGACTTCTAACTATATTTTCCTTGGCATGTACACTTAATCATATTTCTGTACTTTTCAACTATTAGTATAAATCTCTTATTTAAGAAATCAGTAATCCTACCTTTAATAATAAATCTTTTTTTTTTTTTTTTTTTTTTAAAGTCTATTTGTGACAAATCCACATAGTGAGCTATGGTCTATACCCTTTCTGTCAAGGTGCATTTCTTATAATCTTTACATAACTGTGCAACTCTTTTCAGTCAAGCAAAGTATGTGCAATCCAAGTGTGTGTGTATATATATATATATATATTCATATATATCAAAAAGTTATCTTTCCTGAAAAGAATAAAGGAATAAAGCTACAGCCATATTTCACATACTACTTATACAACATAATGTTTGAATATATAATAAAATTACCAAACTGAAAATGCAGGATACTAATATTCCCAAAGTCCCACCCGAATTTTCAAAAGTTACAAAATCTGATGGAATTGGTACAACTGTAATAACAGCCGATTGTTTGGATAGAAGATGAACTGATACTGCATATGGGGAAGTAATAATTCACCCATTCAGCAAACTAGGAAGAGAAGTATCAATAAATAAAGACTAAAGACTGGATAAGACATTGTCACCACCCTCAAGGACCTGAAGCCTAGATAGTAACGAAGCAAGAAGGTATTAAATGCAGAGACAGGCACAAAGGAAGATGCAATCAACTCTATACTTCCATTAAAAACGGGGTGGTCGGCCGGGCGCGGTGGCTCAAGCCTGTAATCCCAGCACTTTGGGAGGCCGAGGCGGGTGGATCACGAGGTCAAGAGATCGAGACCATCCTGGTCAATATGGTGAAACCCCGTCTCTACTAAAAATACAAAAAAAATTGGCTGGGCATGGTGGCGCGTGCCTGTAATCCCAGCTACCCAGGAGGCTGAGGCAGGAGAATTGCCTGAACCCAGGAGACGGAGGTTGCGGTGAGCCGAGATCGCGCCATTGCACTCCAGCCTGGGTAACAAGAGCGAAAACTCCGTCTCAAAAAAAAAAAAAAAAAAAAAAAAAAGGGGGTGGTCTTCAAAGGCAGCGATGTTTGAGATGGATTGGAGGATGAGTAGGTAAGACCAGGGAGGGCATTCCAAGTAAAGGAAACAATATGTACAAACTAAAACAAGTCATAACAAACTGAATGCAGACATTAACAAGATTTGCAAAATGTAAAACAATGTTACTCACACTAATTACTTTTTTATTTTAGAAAATAAAGCTTTTTTTTTTTTAAAACAACAAATAACTAATTATGTTAAAATGTAATAGGTTTGCTATTAAGTATCAGTTGTTTTTTTTTTTTTTTTTGAGATAGAGTCTTGTTCTGTCACCCAGACTGGAGTGCGGTGGTATGATCTGGGCTCACTGCAACCTCCATCTCCCAGGTTCAAGCAATTCTCTGGCCTCACCCTCCCGAGTAGCTGGGATTACAGGTGCATACCCCTATGCCCGGCTAATTTTTGTATTTTTAGTAGAGGCGGGGTTTTATCATGTTGGCCAGGCTGGTCCTGAACTCGTGACCTCAAATGATCCACCTGCCTTGGCCTCCCAAAGTGCTGAGACTACAGGTGTGAGCCACTGTGTCCGGCCTCAGTTTTAATATCTAATGCAATAGACATAAGCCACACAAATAAAAATTCAGTTTTTATGTATG